AGTAATTTACTTGAATGTTATATTAAGAGAGACTACCATGCAAGTAATTTACTTGAATATTATTTTAAAGCAGATCACTATGCAAGTAGTTTAATTAAATGTTATATTAAGGCAAACCACCATGCAAGTAATTTAATTGAATGTTATATTAAGGTAGACCACCATGCAAGTAATTTAATTGAATGTTATATTGAGGCAGATCACCATGCAAGTAATTTACTTGAATGTTATATTAAGGCAGATCACCATGCTAGTAATTTACTTGAATGTTCTATTAAGACAGACCACCATGCTAGTAATTTACTTGAATGTTATATTAAGGCAGATCACCATGCTAGTAATTTACTTGAATGTTCTATTAAGACAGACCACCATGCTAGTAATTTACTTGAATGTTATATTAAGGCAGACCACCATACAAGTACTTTAATTGAATGTTATATTAAGGCAGACTACTATGCAAGTAATTTACTTGAATGTCATATTAAGGCAGATCACCATATTAGTACTTTAATTGAATGTTATATTAAGGCAGACCACCATGCAAGTAATTTAACTGAATGTCATATTAAAGCAGACCACCATGCAAGTAATTTAATTGATGCTACATTAGGAAATGAATTACGAACGAGAAAACATAACGTGAAATAAGTGAGAATAATTTATATTTTATAATTTATAATGTTATTTCAAGATTGAAAATAAATACACTGCAAACGTTAGCTGTAGGCTGTACACCTGGTGTAGAATATCATACTTTTAAATCCATTTTGTGTTTGTTGTTGTTGTTGTTTTTTTTGGCATGTTTTTACATTTCAATTCGTTCCAGTTTTTATGCAATTATCAAAAATAAGGTTTACTTTTAAATATCTTCCTCAATCTTCTAGTGAAACCAAGACTTTTATTTTAATTTCTTGACTTTAATTATAGTAAAAAACGTCAGTTTCACAGCAAAAACTTTCAAATTGGGTATAAAAGCTCGTTGTGAAAAAACAAAACAAAAACAATTTTATCGTCTGCAAAAAATAAACCAAGATTTGTTGCTGAACAAAATTCAAAATTACGATAATTCGACAAGAGAAAAAGTACTACTCCAGCAATTAAAGATATATGCCCCCCAATAGCACAGCGGCATGTCTGCGGATTTACAACGCTGGAACTCGGTTTCGATACCCGTGGTGGGCAGAGCATAGATAGCCCACTGTGTAGTTTTATGCTTAACTAAAACTACTACATAAAGATATCTAATCCTTGTTGGAAATTTAATCTTCATCTTTATTTTTTATCCATTATTAAGAAGTACCATCTTTCGAAAGATTTGGGATTTGGGAATTATATTTTGTGGTTTAACTACTTTCTTATTTCACCTGCTTTCCAGTTGTGAAAAGAAGGTACTGTTTTCAATGTAATAAGGCAAATTATATAAGTATATATTAGGTCGTCAAGAAATTAATGTCGCGTTTTGGAACACTTTTATTACCCCCCCCCCCAAAAAAAATGTATTTCACGTATAATAGATAAACGAACCGCCTAAACGTCACGTTAGTGTAGCCTATATAATGTGTAAAATTTAGTATACTCTAATCCCTTATAGTAGTGGCACACGACGAGACACACATTCGGGATGTAATACTGTTTGAATTTAAGAAGGGAAACAACGCCTATGTAGCCACAAAGAATATCAAAGAAATTTATAGAAATGTTTTGAACGATGAGTCAACGATGGTTCAGCAAATTTCATTCAGGTGACTTTAGCTTTCAAAACTGTGTTGGCAGGGGCCGACATGTTGGAACTGATATTGATGCTCTGAAGACGCTTGATGAGTCTA